GTGGAATTTTATTAAAATACATTTTCTGACGCCTCGATCCCATGGTGGATTTGTTGGCAACCAATTTATTTCATATGCGCATGCATTAAATAGTTATGTCACCGTATCGGTATGCATTAGTCTATTTATTTATTTGATCTCGTCATTGCAAGTGATTAACTGTTGCTTTATATCCCCGGTGTGGCTGCGCTTGATGTGCATGTTGACAAGGTGCTTACCTGTCTAGTACTCACCACGTTGTCTATACTGGCTCTAGGAGGCAGTTGGTCGTTGCTGTAGGGGACGGGATGCACGGTCCTTGTGACCGTGCTAGGCTCGAAGAATGGTTTCGTGCAGTCAGTATGGAGTGGACTACGGTCCAGCCACCGTTCTGTGTGCGCTTGATTCCCAACTACAGCGTGCTTGTGTTTGTCTGTGAAGGAGTGTGGGCCGGCTCCGTTGATGATACGTGGCTCCCATATACATGCATCCTGATCTTATTCCTTCCGGTTTACACTGGATACTGGGTGTGTGGTTGGAGCTGTGGGTGATCCCTCTGTAGGCGCAGGCGTCCTGTGTCTGGCCACAGTGACAAGCAAATCCGTAACCGGATGCCCCCAAGCATCAAGAACCAACTCCACGTAGTAGTTGCGTTGACCAGCTTGAGGTCTCTATCTTTCTGAGCCTAGCGGGTTGTAAACGCGCTAAGTTTGGTCTCTTACTTTCTTGTTCTGCTTCTCAAAAAGTGCGTTAGTTTGAGTGGGCAATGGAGGGCTTTCGGCGCTGATGCTTTTGTGACAAGTGGGGTGAATTTTTCGACGAATGCTTTCTATACCATATCTGGGGTACATTCATTCATGTATGTCCAACCGTCAACTTGAACGACAGCGGACAGTGCGTCGTAGTGTGCGGTAGAGTGCATTGGTTCATGCTCTTAATCGGAACAATCGGTGTAGCAAATTTTGTCGAATATTAAAGTCAGGTGATCGACTCGTGGTAAAGCGCTCATCTAGCCCGTCATCCATGAGCTTCTCAGTGATGAGCACCAGGTCTAGTTTCGACGGCTTATCCTCTGTTCTCACCTGGTGGCATGACCGTGTGAAAGTGTGCGGGACATTAACACTTTCAGATAGAACTTGAACTGATCACTATAGTTTGATAGAGTTTCCAGATCATCGATTTTGAAATCTCCTGTATTTAGGTTTTGGCTGCATTCTGATTCCCACATTTCATGAAGCTGGTGTGTCAGTAGTCGAATTTCCGGAGTGGATTTGGGTGGCTGATGAACTACGGACACAAGCACATGTCGTCGTCCTTCAGCCATACCCTGTACCAAAAGAAATCAGGGACACGCATTTGTCGATCGTGGATGAGATAACAACGAAGGCTTGTTTTGTAAGCAAGGATCACTTTCATTCACCTGTCCGTTCTGTCGTTCCGCAGAAGTGACATACCGGCTAGAGTGATCTCAGCATCGGTAATATCTCATATGAATGAAAAAATCTGGCGGAACCTTTAAATCGGCCGTTGCCTTTTCGCCGAACATCCTATTCTACATTGGCTACCGTATATATCTCAGTTTTGCAAGGTTAAACTGACAGATAGTTTGTTCAAGCAACTTCCAAGGTCAGAGGCCCGCTATTCCATCCACTTTTGAATACAAAAGCCAGATATCGAACACGAGCCCCTACCTACTGTCTTTAGACAAAACACTGCGTCAATTGAAGCGAATTCTGAAGAAAAGTTTTAATGAAAGCTTTTCCGTTTTGATTGAATACAAATCCTGAAGATTTGGTTCAGCTTTTTGGGATCGTTGCATGAGCTATTTATGGCCGTACATTCTCATTTTTCTACCCATTTTAAACTTAGCGTTTTTAATGATAACTCTTTGGTACATTTACAGTTGAGAATGTAAAATGCTGAAATACACCCATTTGGGTATGTAAAGCTCACACTGACTTGACTTGACTGGACATATCAGCCACGTTTCGGTGATCATTAGGTTACCACGATCCTCTGAAGCCTGACGCTGATAGAGTTCAACCATCTTACCAATAAGGACTTGTGCGTTAGTGTAAAAGCATGACAGGTTCTCTGTACCCACTTTCTCAGTACACCTTATGTGGGGAGTTACGGAGCAGAATGGAAGACAGCACAACGGCATCTGTGTCGTCAGTAGAACACTGTGTCACCCGGAGAAGTCGTGGTTTAAATTGATGCAATGATTTTGGGTAATATATGACCCGTCTCAGCATCGTAGGTTCAACCGAAATGACAATCGCGCCAGAAATGACTCCCCGGTGGTTACTTTCGTCCAACGGCTTCTCCTTTTTGCTAGTAGACTGCAATTATGGAACATTTGTGTACACAACATATAAAGCGCCATGATATCTTCTGTTGGCTGCAGGTTAGAAGGCATAAGCCTTTACCGTTTTAAACTGTTTAGTGGAGGCTGCATCACTCTAATGTTGCTCAGTGCCGCTTCTGGGGTCAAGAGTGTTCTATCCGGCGTTTGCATGGAGGTAACTGATGCGCAAGCTGCCCGGCTTTCACTATGGTGGACGGACTCTGGCTCGGAGATACTAGTATGGCCACTGACTTAATGTGGGCTGCACCGCTGAAATGAGTAGATGAAGGCACACTTGAAGCTTGTTCACTTATGCGAGTGAGATGAGCCAGAGAATATGGAGACAGCTGCTGCAGTGCGATTGGGGCATCTGGTTACCATCGTCGGCGTAGAGGCGCAGCTTGAGTTGACTGACTAATGTAGGAGCCTGGCTATGTTCACATGTACATCACTGTTGAACGTAGTACCCTACAAACAAAGCCGATACAACAACCTGAAACTAATTACCAAACCCCCGTTTGAATTGTAGAAAATAATTTTACTCACTTAGAACCTGTTCTCACTGGAATGCATTACCAAGATATGTGATGAACGCACCAGACATGAAGACATTCGAAAGACTCTTGGACTTTCATCTTGGTGATAAACGCTACACAACAGTTTGATAAAGTGCAATGGTTTAGCCACTGATACTTCACGTTCCACGTTGGAACATTTTGATTTTAGTTTTCTTTTGCGTATCCATCCTGTGGGTTTTGTAAAGTTATGCTTTTTATCCCATCATACACTATTGAACTATTGAACTTCCGAAGGTGCGATCCTAGTCTCAGTTAACCTATCGCAACTCCTCATGAATACACATGAACAGTTGTAAACTGAAATGACTTGACATTGTTGGACAAACTCAAAGGTGTCAGCTACTTTGTTTTGCTGTTTTATTTCCTGAACGGAGTTTCTTACACACTTAGGATGGGACCACTTAATGTACTTTGAACGCATTATCTCCATTGTAAGGACCTTAGCTCATTTCTCCAAATAGCACACGCAGCGCTGTACCATGCCTGAAATCCTAGCTTTACTTTTGTGAACTTCCGCTTGTGTGTGACCCTGCAACTTCCGGGCTCTGCACTGAGACAACGCCTAATATAAGTCAGAAGTTAGCCGTCCTTACTCTCGTAGCCACACGACTGATGAGACAGCTTAGGCGGCTGATCGATCGGTGAACCTGAAAAACAAGCTGGGTGTGCGAGAAGCTGGATGCGAATGATAAGCAAACAATGGCTCAAAGCTGGTTCCATAGCTTCATGGAAAACACCGTATATGAGCGAATCCGGGTTTATTGGACGGCTGTATCCGAGTCAGTAACTCAACCGGTTAAATAAACCAAATTCGCTAAGGCTGTACGCGCGAAACGAGCGCTGGAATTGTAAAAACAGGTGGAATTGCTGGTATCGTGATCTGTAGGAAGTACTTCGTGCAACTTGACTCTAAGAATGGAGCAAGTTAATGGGATCCGAATGTGCGCAATCTGGGTCTGTTGACAGAAGATGAAGCGGAGTAACACAGAAATACCGAAAAGTGCAAAACGGATGCACTAACATGGTGGACAATCAGTCACGAAACTGTGTAGGTCAGCTAATCCCTTAAGCATCTGTTTTCGTGATCGATAATTTTGTACAGTCATGATAGCTGATTGTACGGGGCAGGTGGTCGGATGTGGTTGATGGTAAGACCGAATCCGATGTCATCTATTTGGTGTTGCTGAAGCATTCGACCGCCTGGATCACAACCTTTCTCTTCAAAAGTTCGAAGTCGAGTATTAGGAATACGCTGTTTAGGTGAGTAAGAAAACTTCTTCTTCCGCGTCGGCCGAAGTCACTGGGACGGAATCCACTACCCTATTCTGTTGTAGCCTAATTTGGTACTCTAATAGATTCAGTGCGGTGGATGCTTTCATTTCTGTTGTCTGTTAACGATCTCATATGTGCAGTCGCATGGAACTTCTGACTATTGTGATGGCCAGGTTAACCAGACGTAGAAGCCCGGAAAGCATTGCTCTACAAGGCGATCAACGCATTAGAACATATGCATGCACCTACTCTCGAATACAGTCGAATAAATTAGAGTTCAGATGGAGAGGATAGTCCTCAAGTGCACTAGCTGTTGCCATGCAAAGTCTGGCCACACACTAGGTCACCTGCATTGATCGGATCCTGTGGTAAGCGTGCTTACCAAACCGCATATATTAACATGCTGCGGCTGTGCGGCGGCATGTTGCTGCGGCACTGTGATGGAAACCTAATAACTCGTCTAAGAAAACGAGTCTCGATGTTGTACGGAGTGGACCATACCAGTGATCAGATGAACAATCAGGGAACTGTCAAACAGTCAGTGGTAAAAGTGAATTCACTCCTACCTCGAAATGTTCATCCATTGGTTTCTCTTCTCCTGAGGCTCTGCCCCTTTGCTATTGACAGTTCGATTATAGGTCTCTCGCTGTTTTTCTCCACTGCCCTTTATGTTCGTTCTTATATAATGTGTTAGAATCGTTGCTTGTGGGGTGACTGCGCCCCGCTTGGCGGGAGAAGCAGGTAGGAAAAGTTAAATGAGCGAATTTGAACTCCACTAAATGAATATGGGTGATCACCAGCTCTTTCTTTTTTGTTTTGAACAGCGATTCTAACGAAAAGTCTGACGAACTGTGGTGAAAATGTTGAACACGAAATCACTGCGAACACCCACATGCGACGCTATTACTACCCATGCAAATTCGCATACAGGCCAGCCAAAAATCTTTGATTATACATACAATAAAGATGTCGATTGTGGTCTGTTTTTGTACAATGTTTTCCAGACGCAAACAGGGATACAAAGAACAGTAGGGCACTGCTCAGCGGTCGCTTTCAAGAAGGCCAGCTCTTCAGAGACAACTGAGCTATTGCGTGAGTCAGCAGTCAGACAATAAACGTGACAGCGAAATTTTGTCTTATTGCGGCTCTGAACAAAATGACCAAATAATTCTAAGGCTCTAATTACTTAGGAAAGATCAGAAACTCGTCTGTGCATTCTTTATAAATCTTACGGCTCTGACTGTTTCCGGTACCTCCGTAACTGAGCTATGGGATACCACCCACTGTCTTCTCTAGTGAGTTCGACAGTGCCCAGCGAGTGCACCACCATCGACAAATCACTTAGTGAAGTCTAATATTCCCGACAATTTCTTAGTCGCCGTTAAATGCATCTATTGTGCTCTGCAATCCTCATGCGCATTTTTAAGCAGGTTGGCCAAAGTATACACGTGCAGTCCTTCCAACCGATGTCTTAGATACAGTTAGTCGCCTTGCCCACAGACGAATCATTCCAACGCACGAATTTCAAATGAATTGTTCGATTCGTTGTTTTTGCATATGATAAACCCTTCATACAGCCCGAGGTTCCGTTGTGGTGAGGAATCCCCGGGGATCACAATCCATTCTATGGACCCAGGGCCATATGGAAACGGAGTTTTCCTAACCACCTCAGGTATCCGTTAAAGCTTTTACGAAACAGGTTGGTCGTGTGTTCTATCAACACTACACTCGCACGGCGTTCACACTACAACGAAATAGGGTTCACTGCAAACAGTCGCTTAGCCATACTGATGCCCGACTCGGTAATCTAATTGCGAGATAAATTCATGTGTGTGGAACCCTGCGTTCACTTTTTCGCTGAGTCAATACTAATGCTGTTTCTAAAGCCAGTCCTTAGCCCTCCGATTCGCGGTGTAATCATGGCGTTTGCCTTCGTTGAACGCAAGTGGAGTTACTGTTTTGAGCGGTGGTTTCATTCCCCAGGTAAGATCAGTAGAAGTACAGATTTATATTTTACCCATCTACTTCGCGTGTGGGAAATAATAATTAATAGGTTTTCGGTTAGATAGATAATGTGCGTTGCCCGCTAAAAAGGGACCCCTCCAATCAGGTAGTTGGTTTCTTGAAACAGGAGTGCCATGTAGCGTTACGTGATCTCGCGCGTCTTACTATGCCCTCCATTTGGCACGGCACTTAAGACATGCGGACCAGCGATCATAGAATTGCAGCATAGATGTGCTCTAAAAGGCCTGAAGCATAACGACCCAATTTCTGTTTTTACAGGCCAAATCATTTTGGGACTACAGGATCCTACTTCTATAGAATGGCTCATGGCTTTAGGGATACTCCTTTGAAATCCATTTTATTATCACAAAACTTCGTCCACGTGGCACCACTGGATCTCTTTCCCCAAAATTATCCGTACACGTGAATTCATCAATACGGTGATGTGCCGATGGTCCCATGGAACTACTCCTCCTGACTGCGTGTCCCTGAATAAAGTATGATATGATACAGTGATACCCACCCGAGTAGTCTACAGCCCGTAATCCTTGTTTATCAAACCGGGTTACTCTTATTAAGTAGGTTGATTGCTGGCATCCCACAGTGCGTCAGTCCCACAATAAGGTCGAAATTGACTATCAGTTCACTGGACCCAATGGTAATAATTGTCAGTTGTGGTGACTCATAAGATCGCTTCATGAACACTTCCTTTTTCCTTGCCAGAGATTCAAACAGGCCAGTCACAATGTTGGTTAGCTTTTGCACTAAGCAACAGATCGGACGGCAACACCGGGTTTATGAATATTCGGTAGCTCAAAAGCCTTTTATGGAAGTGCTGAGCACAAGCTAAGGATGTACTATTTTCCCATTTCTGGATCGTCGTTCACCTTTTCTAAGTAGCCACGAACCACTATGACAAATTATCCCCGGAGTACAGCTTTATTCTCAGTCAAATTTCATGGCTATTTAGTGTGTCTCCACTTTCTAAATCGCATTCGTTCAGTATCCCTGTTGAGCTGTCCGTATCGGTTTCCGTGATGACTAATACTCAGTAACGAAACCAATGCAAGCGCCCGAGACCGCAGTCAGGCAAGGCAAATTCTATGAAAGGCACACGTCGTATGACACTCAAATAGGAGGCGTTCCAAAGGCCAGTGTGAGAATAGCTGAGCGTAAGATGAGCAGATCAGTGTTGTCTAGGCACTTTAGGGCTTCCAACGCCAAACTTTATGCTGGCACAAGATTTGGCCTTCGGTTGCTCCAAGTCGGTCATGTGTACTTGCTGTGCAAGAATAGTTGGGACAGTCCAGATGAGTAAGGTACTTATTGCGGTTTTAGTACAAAGAGCAGCTTCCTAGAATTTTCTTAGATTTATCTGTAGCAAACTCTTCTGTTAGTAACTCGCACTAAATTCCAATCAACAGCCCAGATGGTGTAGTGAATACATGGAAGTATAAGGGGAATTGCTCATTTCAAATACATGGAAGTAAGTAGTGTTAAACGCTGAACGTCCAGTAGGACTTGTGGCCTTGCTACGTCCAGATATTGGATGGTCGGAATTGCAAATTCGCCTGCCTTTTGGATCATTCCGCCCGGCTGACTCAAAGTCCGAAGTCCCTCTATTCAATCTGTCACAGTGTGTTTGCAGTACGACATTCTGCAGCTCAGTTGATTTGCTTAGAGGTTAGTTTTACGTAAGCGTTTAGTTGGCAATGGTGCACGGTAGTGACTAAGTTCTACCTGATTAGACGACCAATTGTATCGACGAAACTAGTCACAAAGGCTGTGTACATGTGAACATAGATCGGACCGCAGCACGCGTCCGATAAATGTAAACACCGAGGTGTACGTCAAAGCTGCCGTGGACAGGGCCTAAATAATGATTGGACGACAGAAGCGCAATGTTGAGCATAGAGCATGAAATCGACCCCGATAAGATAGAGACCACTAGAAGAGGGGATTGCAGGCGTCTCCACAATACATTGGACTAAGAGTGTAAAGCGTTCAAGCCAACCAGAATGGATGGAGTAGAGCAGTCAACTTTTTGACGTAACAATTTAAATCGGCCGCATTTTCTCGGTCATTCTTCAAAGTCCTGTTGACGTAATAAGTTAGCTGATGCGTTTACGAAGTTTATACACGCGAAATATAGTGGGTGGAGAACAGATGCCACCCTGTTGGTTCCTTAGCAGGAATTTTGACGCATAATTACTCATTTCAATCTGTCCATTCAAGACAGTATGTATTCGCCACCAAAGCAGATGATGATTTTCATGGGATATTAAGATGTTATCTGCTAATGTACTGGTAGGTGGACGAACGGTTTAAGCATCTGGATAGCAGTTCACATGCCACGAGTTCTCGTTGCATCAGTAGCCCGCATACGACTGCTTACGGTCGAATGACAGTGAAAAGTCAACAAAACAAACCGGCCTACTGTTGATGCGTTATATTTTATGAGATTATTTTTATCCATATTGTATTGGTCGGGTACGGCCTAGAATAATGAGCTTGTCTCGTAATCTTGCGGCGCGGGTTCTAGCCTGCCTAGCAGCAGGGCAACTCTCCTTATGTCCTTAGCCCACATGAGACCGGTGGTGATTGCGCAACAGCAAAGCCTCGGTATTGCGTACCGCGTACCGCAGATGCCTTCTGCCTACTTTTTGCGGTATTGCGATCCCTCCGACTAGTAGTTGACACATCAATGCCCTCCGTGTCATGCGCTTTTCTCTACACTCGACGATGTCCCACAATTCCTGAGTTTCCTCCACAAACCCTCGACAATCTTGATGGGTTGTTATGCGTATCGCTTGGACGCCATAAATAATTCCATGTTACATGCTACATAAATGCTCTTGCGATATGATCCACTTGACGATAACTGCACTTTACGAATCCATTTTCATAAAAGGTTGAGTTTACCTGGGTAGTCTTGTTGCAAACCCCATGTTACTTACGCCCATTTTCCGATCTTTTGTTACGCTCTGTACCTGCAAACGCACACGCACGGTTCTCCATAGTATTTTCTTAAATCTCTGTAACCATTGTCGATACTGACTGTGAATCCGTGAAATTCCTGATCATACCATAACATGGCGTGCTTCGTACTATCGATGATAAAACATCTATCTATGTATTTATTTAAGCCTCCGAATCAGCACTGAGCAGCTCTTATACACCTGCAGAAGGACTGGAGTGTGGGCCAGTGCTAGTGTGTTGAACTCAACTCTCGAGTGGCCAATAGGCGCGATGCAAAGGAACATAGGAAATCCGACGAAAGATTCGACCTAACTGTCACAAACCCATTCAGATTGCCAGGGATCCCAATTGACGTAGAGTAGTCCAGTGATGAGCACAGCTGTCACATTCGGCTCCTGCTTTAGCCTCGCTTGCCATTCCCCATGTAGCCCTAGTGAACCCGTATGCGGGATACCGTCATGTCCCATCGACACTCCTCTGTAAACCCATCGAAATAAAAACACAAATTCTGCGTACTCCTATGTGGGTCACATTCGGCCGTTGGTAATGCCGCTGTCACATGCGCACTCACAACACAAAGTAGAGTTAAGAGAAATCTCAACCACAATTAATGAGGATCACGTAAAGCTTATGCAGATGTAACTGAGCTAGCTTTCATAAGCCTGACTGCTAGTGGGCATTAACCTGGCTCGAAAACGTTGACCTTACTGTGGATCCCTCATGGGTCCACAGAAGTTCCACGCAGAGCCGTCTCCTTCTCGCTGACTCCGTCCCACCGTTTCCGCATGGCAGCTCACACAGATGACAATTATACCGACGGAACATCGGTGTTACCGTTATCTATTTATATTACATCACTTATCTTATCTTATCAGGCAACAATTAACCTGCCGCAATCAGCTCGTGATTCCCTCGGTAACACCGTTGCTGGGTGACAAATCCCGTTAATTGATGTTCGCCTTTGTAAATGCCTTTTTACTCTCGTCATTCCGGCA